AGTTAGCCGCGGAGTCTCCGTGCCCACCGCGGCCCCAGCCTAGAGCTGGCCGGTGCACAAGAGGGAGTCTCCAATCAAAGATTAAATAGACCTAAGGCTGGAGGTGTCTTAAGGGTAGATCACTTGCCTAGCATTCAACCCCTACAGTTAATCCCCAACGCTGCAGAAATAAATACATGGATAAATAATTAAATATCCGTCAGGTTGGGGTCGGGGGACGGCGCGGTAGGTTACCACCCACTGGGTCAAGTTTTCAAAGGCCGGCTCTGGAGTCTGGGACAAGTCATACAAATTCTCAGAACCCGTTAACTGCGTGCATGCAAATAGAGATTACGCTGGCTTCTGCTTTTCTCCCAGGGAACAGAATCTATGGACTTCATCCTCTACTTAAATAAGATTTCAGCGTCAAGGTGGGGACTATTAGAAGGCTACTCCAATCCCGAGACTTTGCTCTGTCTTCAAGATGACCCTTGGGCTGAAGGTGAAGCTTAATGGTAGAGCCACTGCCTGGCATGTGCAAAGCTCTGAGTATGACACCCTCATCCTTTCTCCCATCCTCCAACCCCTGGCAAAGAAGAACCAAGCAAAAGAAGACAACACTTTACAAGGAGCAAACTGGGCGTGTAACAAAAGCTTTTCATGTGTGGGAACCTGAGACCTAGGGACTTGAGGTATAGCAGTTTCTTGTGTTCTCTCTCTCTCTCTCTCTCTCTCTCTCTCTCTCTCCCATACAGCAGTTTCTTTTGTTATCTCTCTCCCTACCTCTAATCCCAACACTTGGGAAGAAGAGGATCATTGATAGTTCAAGGCCAACCTGGTCTAAATATTGAGTTCTAGGCCATCCAATGCTACATAACAAGAGCCTGTCTCAAGGCAAAGAAAGAAAGTGGGTAGAGGAGAGAGCAACTCACTGAAGGCTTCCTTGGGTCAAGTTGGATCCTCCTTCCCTCCCGCTGTCCCTCTTCTTCTCCCTCCATACACATAACCAAAACCTCAAAAAGTATATCATCTATCAAACTAAAGAAACTATTCTTTCTAGCAAGGCTAGCCTGAGCTACATAGTGAATTCAGGCTTAGCCTGGGTTATATGGGGGAAACCTTGTCTCAAAGGGGGAGTGTAGAAAGGTTAGGGCAAAGGGGTGTGGGAGAAAGAGAGGGAGAAGCAACAAAGAATATGTTTGAAAAATGTCAAAATAAACCCTAATACTGTGTTGGTTTAAATAAATAAATACAGTGTTTTTTTAAGTTAGCTGCTTTTCTGAAGCAACTCTCTTCTGCCAGACTTTATGTTTTTAATCAGTTCTAAGATATAATTTTCTATTTATTCTAATTCAGGTCCTCAGACATCTTGATCTTTGGTGAAACTTAATTAAAACTGAATTACATCCAGTCTCTTCATCACAAAAGGATCATTTAAAAAAAGGCTAGCCAATGGACTAAAATAAATAGCCAAGTCCCTTATGGTGACATACATCTCTAATTCCAACACTTGGGAGACAGAGGCCAGATCCTTGAGAGGCCAACCTGGTCTAAATATTAAGTTCTAGGCCACCCAAGGCTACATAAAAAGTGCCTGTCTCAAAGCAAAAAGGGAAGGGGATAGAGGGAACAGTAACTCCCTGAAGGCTTCCTTGGGTCAAGTTGAATTGAAGCCAATAAAAGGTGACTAATAGAGAAAGCTGAACATATCAGGGTAAAAGTTCATCTGCCCTGGTCCCAGAGACCTCCGTTTTCATACCCACTACACTTTCTACCATTCAGAATGTCTTAACAGTGTCAAATTAGCCTCAGAAAGAACATGTCAAAACTGAAATATCAGGACAGAAGTTATTAAATATTTTGATCTCTCTCCATTTGTTTTTTTTAAAGACAGGATCGTATACAGTCCAAGTTGGCCTCAAACCCCTGGTCCTCCAGCTCCCACCTCCTGGGTGCTAGGATCCCAGGCTTGCCTCTGGGGGACTCGCATAGCCAGAATTCATCCGCATCAGTTAAGATGGAGGATTTTAGAGACAGGGTGCAGATCCAGCTGATGCTTCCTAGGGCCCTGGTCTCCTGACTCAGGGGTCCTACTGTTCCTTGTTGGCCTCCATGAGCCAAATGACCAGTAAGACATTTTCAGGTAAAAAGAATGAAGGGGCAAAAGTCGCTCCAAGGACACGATGGCCCACGAGTTGACCCCCATATCACTAATCCCATTTCAAAAGCATCCCCTTGAACTCCCCACTTACCCTTCACTCTGGACTCCAGGAAGAAAAGTAGGAGGCCGTTTCTGGATGAGCGTGCTTTATAGTTCCCAGGAACCAATGACCGCTCTGGGAAAGCCTTGTCTCATTCTGAGAAGCTGCCATTTCCTGCCCTGACCCCTGCTGCCTTCAGCCAGGATATGACATGTTGGAAAATGAGCCGCTAGCGAAGCACATCCCGTATTTAGGAAATGAACATTGTGTGTTCGCTTTCCCCTCCAAACGCAGGAAGAGAACCACAGGCTCTTCCCCAACTTGAAACAAGTGCTGTCATCTCCCAGTGGGGGTACCCTGCCTTTCCTCTCCTAAGAATAGCTACTGACGCCATCGCGAGGCTTTCCCACATGCCCCAGGCTGCCCAATTATAGTGTTTCTTTGAGTGGACTCCATCAGAGAATCACTTTTTAAAAAAGAAATAGGAGGGACTGGAAAACTCAACTGCAATTGATAGAGCCACTCATGGTCCATTTCAAAGAGCTTTGTGGCTCTGTGAGTAGCTGAAGCATGTGACCCACTGAAGAGGGGCAGCCAGCACCAAGGAGCTCCTAAGAATGCAAGGCCACACCCACAGGAAGTGCTGCGTGCACTTTGGGGCATCTCCAGCTGTGGAGAAGACACAGGAGGTCTCAGAAAGGGCACACACGAAGGCCAAGTGCGTCAGAAAAATCACTGGGGTCAAGCTGCACACCGAGCTAATTATACTTTTTCCATGCAGCAGAGAGTCCATGGCTTCCGGGGTTTTCATCTGAAGCACGGGCTGTAGCTCACATGACGGCTCAATGAGTGGATTCTATCTACAGGCTCCGCAGCAGGGCCTAAAGGGCAGTTATTCGTTATAGATAAGGCAGGCAGGAAAGTGAAGGCAGCTCCTGTGCGCTTACCCAGCATCAGATTGTGGAGACATCATATCTATTCCTGAATCAGTCAGAGGAGGGTGGGCCTTAGTCGGGAAACTAGTCATAAGACAGGGGCCCCAATACAGGATCCTTTGTCTGGCACTGTCAATTTCAGATTAGAAAGGCCAAACTGGTTTTCACTTAATGAATCATGTCTCCGGCTGGGTTTGTAGTGGATTAGCGGGCAGGTGGCCCTGGATTTTACCACCTGCACCGCATAAAGTCATCGTGGTGGCTGGCCCACACCTGTAATCCCAGCACCAGAAGGTAAAAGCATGAGGGTTAGACATTCAGGATCACCTCAAATACATAACTAGCTGGAATCCAGCCAGGGCTATGTGAGAGCCTGCTTCCAAAAAATCCCCAGACCGCCCTGGTTCATCTGGAGACTTTTGTTTCCATGAAGTGGGGGTCTCACTATGGAGCCCTGACTGGCCTAGAACTCATGAAGAAGACCAGGCTGGCTTCGAACTTGTGTTGATCCTCTTGCCCCTGCCTCATTCGGAAAATCTCAACAACTCTATCATTATAGAACACGTTTAAGCCCCTTGCTTTCATGCCAATAATTTGTCTTTATCAGAGCAATGTTCCTTTCTTTTACACTCTGCTGCTCTTGAACTTGATCAGTTTGAACTTAGTCCATGTCCAAGCATTCTGGTTATAGCTCCAAACAGAGTAAACATAACTTCAAGAGAGGTGGCCCCAGTGTCTACTTGTATTTTTGAAATAAGAGGCAGAACGGCTGGGCATGGTGGCACAAGCCTGTAATCCCAGCACCAGGAAAGCTGAAACATCATAGTGGCTAAGAGTTCAAGGTCAGCCCAGGCTGTAGAGTAGAACTCAGAAGCACAGGGGACCTGAGTCCAATCCGAGCATGGTGTCACTGGTAGCCTGCTTCATGAGCTCAATCTTCTTCAACACGCACACACACACACACACACACACACACACACACACACACACACACACACACACACACGGTGGAGGGGGAGGCTTATTTTCCTGTTAGCCCCATTGCTTTGGGCAGCACATCAGGGCAGTGGTATGCTTATACCTTGGGAAAGCAATTCACAGAGAATAAAGAGGGAATTAGGGTTCCATCTGATAATCACCTTCAATGGCATGTCACCAAACACACCAAACAAGCACAGCCCTCTCATTAGGCCCAACCCCTAAAAGTTCCACCATCCTCCAACAGTGCCATACTGGAGACCAAGCTTTTAACTCACGGACCTTTGGGGGTCACATCCAAACCATAGAAAATCTATGTGAGTTATGCAGTGAGGCCCAAGTCAGCCTGGGCTTCATAGAGTTCCAGGCCAGCCAAAGGCTACAATGTGAGACCCTGCCTCAAAGAATCAAGAAGAGGAGGAGGAAGAGGAGAAAACTAAGAGGTTCTAAAAGCAGCTGGGCGTGCCTTTAATCCCAGAGGACTCAGGAGACTGAAGCAACTATGAGTTTGTTCTACATATCAAGTACCAGACCTGATAGCACACCACACACACACACATACACACACACACACAGAGAGAGAGAGAGAGAGAGAGAGAGA